AGTAGAACTATAATTATTTTATAAAGCTAAATCTTCAACATCGCAATCATGTACATTATAAAGCTAATTATACATTTCCGAATTAGCGTCTGTCACTTTGACTGAAACATCGTATCCGACTGCTAGTACGCAACACATTCTACCGCCGGCCGTATCACAACCCATTACTAATTTGTCAGGTAAGTAGAACTATAATTGTACTATGAAACTAAATTTTCAACATCGCAATCGAGTACATTATAAATTGTATTATACAATTCCCAAGCAGGGTCAATCAAGAAGCCTAGAATATGGCATCTGAATCCTAATGTCTTTCCGAGCAAGACGGACTATACGAAACAGGGCATCTTACCGCCGGCCAGAATACAACTAATTACCAATTCTTCAGGTAAGTAGAATTATAATTGTTTTATAAAACTAAATTTTGAACATCGCAATCGTGTACATTATAAATTTAATTATACATTTCCCAAGTAGGGTCATTCACCAAGATTGGAATATCGCATTTGAATGCTAGTGTCGTTCCGAGCAAGACTGACAGTACGACACAGGGCATATTACCGCCGACCAGAATACAACCAATTAACAGTTCGTCGGGTAAGTAGAACTATAATTATTTTATAAAGCTAATTCTTCAACATCGCAATCGTGTACATTATAAATCGAATTATATATTTCCGAAGTAGCGTCGGTCACATTGACTGAAACAACGTATCCGAGTGCTACTACGCAACGCAGTCTACCGCCGGCCGAATCAAAACTCATTACCATTTCGTCAGGTAAGTAGAACTATAATTTTAATATAAAACTAAATTTTCAACATCGCAATCGTGTACATTATAAATTTTATTATACAATTCCCAAGCAGGGTCAATCAAGAAGCCTAGAATATCGCATCTGAATGCTGATGTCTTTCCGAGCAAGACGGACTATACGAAACAGGGCATCTTACCGCCGGCCAGAATACAACCAATTACCAATTCTTCAAGTGAGTGGAGCTAAATTTTTTTATAAAACTAAATTTTCAACATCGCAATCGTGTACATTATAAATTTTATTATACAATTCCCATGCAGGGTCAATCACTAAGATTGGAGTATCGCATTTGAATGCTAGTGTCGTTCCGAGCAAGACTGACAGTACGACACAGCACATCTTACCGCCTTCCAAAATACAACCAATTAACAGTTCGTCGGGTAAGTAGAACTATAATTATTTTTTAAAGCTAATTCTTCAACATCGCAATTGTGTACATTATAAATCGAATTATATATTTCCGAAGTAGCGTCGGTCACATTGACTGAAACAACGTATCCGAGTGCTACTACGCAACACATTCTACCGCCGGCCGAATCAAAACTCATTACCATTTCGTCAGGTAAGTAGAACTATAATTTTACTATGAAACTAAATTTTCAACGTCGCAATCGTGTACATTATAAATTTTATTATACAATTTCCAAGTAGGGTCAATCACCAAGATTGGAATATCGCATTTGAATGCTAGTGTCGTTCCGAGCAAGACTGACAGTACGACACAGCACATCTTACCGCCTTCCAAAATACAACCAATTAACAGTTCGTCGGGTAAGTAGAACTATAATTCTTTTATAAAGCTAATTTTTCAACATCGCAATCGTGTACATTATAAATTTAATTATACATTTCCCAATATCCCATTCGCACTGATCCACCAAGTGAATACACAAATTATTTTAAAATTGAATCGTGTATATTATAAAGTTATTTATTTTTTTCCATCGACTTTGAACTGATAAAAATAATATCTACATATTTTTTTTTTTTTATTGAATAGGTAAGGCTTCAACTATTAAGGTTATTAGCCTCTATTAATTACACAATATTGTTCTTAAGACCTTGTAGATACATTATTATTGTGATTGACAGCAGGGGAAGTTAGTGGGACATGTTTTTTTTAAGTAGTTTTGCATTGCCTATATTAATAAAAAAATTGTGTACATTTTTGGAGTTTTCTTCGCCGTACAAATAATGACATTCTAAAATTTTTTCCGAACACAAACATTATATATATACCTATATACCTATATAAGTTAAAATGATATTCGTTCAAAATATCCGCAGGAACATAATTTACGAAAAAAAAAAAATACCCTTTGTATACCTTATACATTATTTTTATTAGGTGTCAATATGTCGAGTTCTCAAAAACCCAACACAGCTGCAACGGTCAGGTCTATAACATGCTGCAAAAAAACAATAATTTCTATTTTTAACGTGATGAATGAACAAAATCTACAAACAAAGGTTAATATTATTATATTGTTATTTACTTACACGAATTGAAACTAGTACGAATAATTTTAGTCAAATACGCTGTGGCCGGTGTAATACTATACGTTAATAATTTGTTTATTTTATTTTATATCATTTATAGTGTAATGAAGTAAAAGATATAATCGTCGAAACTGAAGAAGAATGTATACCGTGGTTAGCGCGGTATATTGTAACAAACCATATCAATATCAAATCAAATTTCCATACGGTGTACTTAAATTTTTTGAATTCGTTAAACAGCGAAACACTCACAGATTTAATAACGTTGGAAACAGAAACATACATTAAAGTGAGAAGGAATATTTTTTTTTATTTTTATTTTTTATATGATGATTAGGAAACAGATTTATATGTAATTTAAATCCGCAAAAAACCCATTAGATAGGTGAACTTTAAAATCTGTTTACCATTATCTTTTTTTCAAACATTTTATAAGCTGATTTTTAG